TCGCCTGGAAGAACATAATGGTGAGGCAAGACGCCAGGAACTCGACAAGCCATGGGGCCAACATTTTCGCACCACTCACCCTGGATGTAAGCTTAACTATGGGCAAAGTGCATTCTCTGCAGTTGAAGTAATAGGAAGAGAGCCTGATCGAGTCCGTCGCAAACTGCGCGAGGCGATTGAGATTCGTGATGCCAAGCCCCATGTGAACATACGCACCGGATGGGATTTGTTGTGAATTTTCTCAGCTTCCCCTGCTGCTACTTCAATATCACTGAATAATTATAATATGAGGCGGGTCACTCAAAACCATTCTATTCCTGATGCCTCGTCGCGTCCCTGGTGGTAACACTTTGGCATGGAAGTTTTAACCTCATAGTGCATTGACTCATGGGGCTCCGTGCTCCCCTCCTAGATCCGGTGCTAGAATTAACACCATAATTATTTGGCATGTGCCCTCACTTCGTAGAGCACAATGGCGCGCTCTTCTTCTCCGTGATGTGCACAGTTGCACCTTCTCTCCCCCCCTCTTTATAGAGGTGACATAACTCGCATCATTTTATTTTTGGCGCTACACGCTGCGTAACGCCATTCACAGAGCACAATGCGCGCTACCTTCTGCTGCTTCTCCTCCGTGATGTGCTAGTTGCGCCTTTTCTCTCTCCCTGTCATACTAGGTGACATAATTCGCATCTTTTTTGGCGCTACACTCTGCGTATATACTGCTCTTGTGTGGCTTCCACGGCATTCATTGTTATTACCTGACGATGGCCAAGTGCCGAAACGTTGTAAAATAACGGAACTGGTTCAGATGTGATATGCAGCGCTATGGGAATGGGTGTGTCCACCCGAATTCTTTTCACAGATGAAGCTGCAGGAAGCCTCAGCCCTTCTTCATTCCTTTTGGGTTTCGATATCTCTTGATTGACCGTGAATGCACGTGTGGTGGGATAATCAAGATAAAGACTATTGACAATACGGAGGATTGGCAAGATAAATTTCTCGTTCGTGTTCGCACTCCAAGGAAAGTCGAACTCAGTATCGGAATTCGCGTTATGAGAAGGATTAGCAAACAGAATTCGCGCATGCATGACGTTGACACGACGTACATTGTGTACAGACAGTAAAGCGTAGTAAATTTATGACTCTCCTGACACGAATCCGCGATTCGTGTTTCGACTAATTTTCCGAACGAAAAATGCGAAAGTTCGCAATCCGAACCGAAAAATGCTCGCGAGCACGAACTCGAATTTCGTCTTGCTAATCCTCCATATTGTGTTCTGCCTCTCGCTGTGCAGTATGGACCTCAGTTGTAAGCTCACATCTCCCTACTCAGTTCTCCTGTACTGTAGCATTAACTTAACTACGATGCAACCTTCCAATGTTCACCTTAACTACGATGCAACCTTCCAATGTTCACTGCTGGCGGTATGCCATTTCCGACTCGAGGAGAAGGATGCTCATTCAGGAGCTGCAGATTAGTGTGGGATGGCGGGCACAATCTTCACAGCCTTCTGACGAGGTTATCTTGATCTTTCCACCATGCCAGATGATCAACATAACTTGAAGCCGTAATCAACTGCAGCAACCTTGTAGGCGGTTTTGAGAGGCTTATCTCGCCTATCTGTTTGTTGCTGTTGGCCGCTGCTCTGCGGTGTACCGTACATTTTAATGCTGCATGCCTTCCCTTCTTCCTTCCTGGCGCAGACGTACTGCGATAGACGGGTGTCCTTCTCGTGTTGTCTGTGGCGGAATGATGATCGACAGTAGTGTTGTTTGACTTACTGCTGTCATTCGCACCTTCTAGGTTTGCGCCATGATGCAGTCATAGTGGTAGCGTTGTTTGAATGTCATTGCACTGCTGTCATTTGCACCTTTTAGGTTTGCGCCATGATGCAGTCATTTACACTTTACTTTGAGGGTATAATAAACCGGTACAGATCCAGATATACTCATTATTGTTTTATGATGATCGCTTAGTACGTGAAACTCAGAGTTAAAACACATTTCCGTCCTCATATTGTTTGTACGGTTTCATTAGATATAAATGGCCTTGGCTGGGCCTGTGCTGGTACATAATCGGTTGACCGGGATATCAAGCTTTCCCTGAATTGTCTGTGTCTGTGTGTGTGGTGTGTGCCCCAGTATTGTGGTTAACCGGTTGTGCTTGTCCAGGGGTTTTCACAAAAGAATCCATTCCTTGGCACTGCACTGGATCAGCCTACAGTCCATTCATCGGAAACTGGCCCGCTGGCTTTTGAAAGTCGGATTCGGGCCAAATTGAGGATCAAAAACCCACTTTAAATCTCAAAAATCTGGGTTTTGGATCTGCTTCTCCATACATTTTGCCATGGCATACCTGTCCTAATTTTTTAAAACCTGGCTAACTTTCTATTTCCCTGTTCTTGGACTTTTCTGGCCTCAAATGTGGCAAGGAGTAATTGCACGGGTCACATAATGCAGGAGATACTATTGTTTTCACGATATCTACAACTATGTAAGAGAGACTCCAAATTGTTAGGGTGCCAGTTTCCAATGAATGGACTGTAAACTGCTATGGCTATTGTTATGCACATTTGCGCCCTGTACATTGGGGATTCGTAGCATCCAGGGAGGCAACATGAGGGCAACACCTGAATCGAGTGGCGGGGCACACAGTCCACTTGTACGTGTAGCTAGCTGTGACTGGATAACTGCATTATTGTACACTGACAGGTTTATTCCATGCTCAACTGAGTTATCTGAATACAGTTCTAAAATACTCACTCTCCAGACACCTAGCTACTTCGAAGTATTTCCAAATCTTGTAATTAATGAATTTGATTGTTCCAACTAGGAACACACGCTTCTTGCCGAACTTGTCACTTGACTGAATCACGACTGCCATCTGGAGCACACGAGGAGCACGTCGCACCTTCCTCACAGTGTTTCGAGAAATTCTCCCCCCATCAGTTGAGCTTGATTAGGATGAGGATGATTGTGCTTGAAAAGCACCACGTATAAACTGCTCTCCAGGCCCAATCATCACCAGGGATACAAACTTACAGAGACGCTTTGTTTCCAGCGCGACAAACACCTCTCGTGAAGCCCCAGGTAGCAGCGTGAGTCAGAGTCGCTCATGGAGTTGTGCTAAACAGACGTTGAGAGCCAGTATAGCTATTCACAACGCTATCACCTCCAACAACTAGTCGCACGTCCGCGTGAGGGACAACGATACGAACTTAGAAGTTGCGACTTCGGCGGTAATAGTCATGAAGTTGATTGTTCCAACTAGGAACACATGCTTCTTGCCGAACTTGACACTTGACTGACTAACGACTGCCATCCGGAGCACACAAGGAGCACGTTGTACCTTCTAAGTTCATCTTGTAATTAATACTACAAATTGGTGTTGAAAGGATCTCACTGGGTACTCGATTAGCAAAAATTCGGCTCGTTTGCGCGGCAGGTTCGTTTGCACTAACGAATGACGCTTCAAAATCGCTCTGTTGACACTGCAAAATCGCTCTGTTGACGCTGCAAAATCGCTTATCAGACTAAATTACATAGCAATTTGTTCTTCGCTGGTACCCCCAACCACACGTTGATGCGCTCACAACCCTCCAATGCCCCTAACCTCACTGCTTCCCTCTCTGTGTCTCGCTATATCTCTCCCCTTTCTCTCTCTCTCTCTCTCTCTCTCTCTCTCTCTCTCTCTCTCTCTCTCTCTCTCTCTCTCTCTCTCTCTCTCTCTCTCTCTCTCTCTCTCTCTCTCTCTCTCGCTCTCTCTCTCTCTCTGTCTCTCTGTCTCTCTGTCTCTCTCTCTCACACACACACACACACACACACACACACACACACACACACACACACACACACACACACACACACACACACACACACGTACACACACATACACACACACACACAAACTCACTAATTCACTCACTCTCACTCTCCCTCTCCGCTCTTTGTTTGCCCAGTAAAGTCTCTCTCTCTCTCTCTCTCTCTCTCTCTCTCTCTCTCTCTCTCTCTCTCTCTCTCTCTCTCTCTCTCTCTCTCTCTCTCTCTCTCTCTCTCTCTCTCTCTCTCTCTCTCTCTCTCTCTCTCTCTCTCTCTCTCTCTCTCTCTCTCTCTCTCTCTCTCTCTCTCTCTCTCTCTCTCTCTCTCTCTCTCTCTCTCTCTCTCTCTCTCTCTCTCTCTCTCTCTCTCTCTCTCTCTCTCTCTCTCACTCTCTCTCTCAAAAGATCATTGAGCTTCAATTCATTTGGAAATCGCCATCACTTTCTTTGCCTACGAAATTTCGTTTTGTTAGGTCTATTGTGCTAGCGACTGTTTTATACGGATGCCAATCTTGGACATTATCTGCCTCATCAATGAGAAGAATTTCATCCTTCGAGATGAAATGCTTCCGCCGACTCTAAGGAGTAACATACATGTACCACGACCGGCGTACCAACCAATCTATCCTGGAAGAAATCAATGACATCATCGGAGCAAGGATGCGGCTAGCGAACGAAGTCAAGAAATTTCAGTTGATGTGCCACGGGTTTGGCCATGTTGCGAGACATGATGTTTTCTCCAAGCCCTTTCTGCAAGGATCAACTCCTGGATCTCGACCGAGAGGAAGGCCCGCGACATCATGGATTTCTAACATTAAAAGTTGGACGGGTCTTCCCTTGCATGCTCTCTCTCATGCAGCACACGATAGAGTTGGATTCAGAGACATCATTCACAATTCTCTCGCTGATTAATGCCTCTACGATCACCTTGTGATTATGAGTTATACATACATACATACATACATACATACATACTCAATCTGCGGACAGAACTACATACATACATACATACATACATACATACATACATACATGGCTATTTGGGTAGGTCTCTCAGTGCTGACAGAAAGTGAGCGCCTGAGCAGCATGGAAGGGCCATATGGGGTGCAGCAATTGTCCTGCTTGAATTACCGTACTGGCAATATATGTTGCCGCGTAACGCGTAACGCAGGGGGGTGCGGCGTAACGCGCGACCAGGCTAGTGCGACAAATTTTCGTTGAGTTCGTAACGCGCGTCCGGCGCGGCGGGGTGCGGCAATCTTTTCATTGCGGTTTGCACTTTGTAATTATGTTGTACACTCATTAACTGTGTGAGTGACAGTAGTTTTTGGAGGAAGCGCTCTTCCCCTATGTCACTTTCCTTTTGATGATCTTTTTGTGAACAGATCACTCTGATAGTTAAAATATACAGTCTTCTATTGATATCGTTGTCGCCCTTTGCCGTCGGGTTTGTAACAGTTGGATAGCAACTGAATTTCTGTGCCTTCAATGTGGATGAAAAGAAAAAATGATGAGGCAAAAGCAAAAAAATGATGCGGCAAAAGCAAAAAAAGTGATGCGGCAATAGCAAAAAAAGGACTGCGGCAATATAGAAACCTGTGTAACGGCTCCAGTGCGACTTTGCATGTAACCCTGCGTGCGGCAAACATGTGCCAATGTAACGCTTCATGGCCTCACTGCGGCAACATATATTGCCAGTACGGTAATAGTGTTAAAGTGGCTGAGTAGTTGTCCGCTGCTGTGGCAAATGCTGTTGCAGCTCTTGCTGGTGATGCAGCGGCTGCGGGGATGGAAGAGAGTGCTGCGGGGATGAGAGAGAATGCTGTGGGGTTGAGAGAGAGTTCTGCGGGGATGAGAGAGTGCCACAGTGCTGCGGGGCTGGGAGATTTCTCCGGGGATGGGAGAGAGTCCCACAGTGCTGCGGGGATGGGAGAGAGTTCTGCGGGGATGGGAGAGAGTGCCACAGTGCTGCGGGGATGGGAGAGAGTTCTGCGGGGATGGGAGAGAGTGCTGCGGGAATGGGAGAGAGTTCTGCGGGGATGAGAGAGAGTCACAGTGCTGCGGGGCTGGGAGAGAGTTCTGCGGGGATGAGGGAGAGTGCTGTTAAGTGGGGATGAGAGAGAGAGAGAGTTTTGCTGTTGCTGATGCTGCCAGTGGTTTCTATGCACCTTCATTCCGTGTTCTTGCTTTTAAAATTTTGTTATGACTCTTGGAGTGCTTTCTAAGCGAGCTCGGATGCGTATACCGCTTCGTACATCCTTGTACCTTGCATTTGCACGGTTTGTCCTTCGTGTGCACATTCATGTGCTTCTTCCGATCCGAGGAGTTTGAAAATTTGCTCTGACATCCCGGGAAGGTGCAGAGGAACGGTTTTTCCCCTGTGTGGACCCGTTTATGTATCTTCAGGTTTTCGGGACGTGAACATTTGGTTGCACAGGCTGGAAAATCGCAGACAAAGGGTTTTTCACCTGTATGAACTCGTATATGGTTGACAAGCTTGTATTTGGCTTTGAATCCTTTGGCGCGACTACACTGGTCCCAGTGGCAGATGTGGACGTTGCCGCCTTCCTGTTTAGGAAGTTCATGAGTGCTCAGTAGGAGATGAGCGTTGCTTATGTGCTCAGCTAGTTCGGTGACATCAAAGAAAGTCAACCCACATACGTGTGGACTGTCATCCACACGCCAATTGCACTGATGTCCTTGATGTCCGCCGTTCAATGCCAATGGAGGGGCAGAGGGGTTGCTCCCTTGATGGTGCACCGTTCCTTGTACTAGATGGTTCAGTGCGGCGGTCAGTTGAAAGCCACAGGCTTGCATTCCCGCAGGATGGTTAGAGCCGCTAGCCATACTGCCATGCATTGCTGGGGCACTACTCTGCAGCAAAGGTGGTAGTGTCTGATTACCACTGGTAGCAGTGGCGTGGAAGTGGTGATTGGGTTGCTGAACGTATGGACATGATACAAGTTGTGCGGGTGATGTCAGGACACCAATGGTTGGTTGTGGATTTGATGGTTGAAACGCACTTGAAGTTGAGGCGGATGAAAACACAAAACCACTACTGCACAAATCAGTGTTGACAGGTTGTCTCATATGGCTGTGCTGCTGACCAACAGGCTGGGGTTGGTTTGCAATAGGCTGAGTTATAATAAAGTGCTGTACTGGACCGACATTTGTCCCTGCAGCTTGCAGCCCTGTCGGTACCTGTTGATGTGTCCCATCGAATGCTGTATTACATAGCAAGGCAGAAATTGACAATGTGCAAATAAGATATTAAAAATACCAATTGTTAGATACTTGAAAACACTGACTGAAGTGGTCCCGTCCCATAGATGTGTGCTTAGTTTTACAATAGTGAATTGTCCCTCAGCACAGATTTATGAAATGGTTCCTGGGCACACACACACACACACACACACACACACAAACACACACACACACACTGTGACACACAACACACACACACACACACACACACACAACACACACACACACACATACACACACACACACACACACACATGGAGTCCCATACCGTCTAGACTACCAGACCTAGACAATTTACAAAGCAAATATATCGGGGCAGAAACCATGTCTAGCAGGATAATATTCTCAAGTTTTTATCCGATACTGGAAACACTCAAAATCCCAAGACATTATGTACAGTGCATACAGGTGCAAAATTCCAAGACATGTACAGAGCATACAGGTGCAAAATTCCAAGACATTATGTACCGAGCATACAGGTGCAAAACGTTCGACTTTCGTCACTTACCCTGTACAGTAGGCATCTTTGGACGTTGTGAGCGCAACGGCGGAAAATGCTGCATCGTGTAGCTGGGTAGTTGAGCTCCCGTCATCCGCTGGTGGCCTTCTGCTTCTGACGTGTTCCTTCAGGAAGACATTCCGAACAGGGAGTTGGTGACAATTAGGGCAGTTTGACAAACAGCCGACCGTGTCTCGGGAACTTGGCTGTACTTTTTCGTCCACAATGGTAGCCAAAACAAATGGGTTGACTGGCTTGTCAAGAGAACAGCAGCAAGTTCCGGTCCGGGGAATGCGGATAGAGTCAACGCAACGACAAACTAGTCCTGGTCCACACTATTACAGGAGAGTGACTGCTGGTCTCTTGCAACGTAAAGAAGAATAGGAGATGAGCCGTTTTGAAACGCACTCGTGGCCTGTGGCTCGACGAATGGTGCCGTTTTGGCTAGTCAGGGGGTTTCATTGGTGTGCGGAATCTACCCATGCAGCAAGTTCGGCCAAATTGCCCTGATTACGTTTGCGATTGTTTGCCAGTGGGCAAAGGAGTAGGCCAGTGATGTACTTGTAACTGAAAAAGACACTCCTCTTTGTCTAACTTTCCTCCATGGTCAGCATGTTGACGCAATAAGAGCAAGGAAGCAATTGCTATGACCATTTCGCACCCTTCACAGTCTAATCAAGTTACTTCAAATTTAATTGTTATTGTTGCCCCTTCACTTGTACTCCATAATACCTGTTTCTCGATGCCAAGAACGCTAAAAGGGGCAATAAAAGAGACAAGAACAAAATACGAAGACAACAAAGGAGTAATAGGTGCTGCCAGAGCTGTGGTGTGCTGGTCAGGCGCAGGGCACTCCTCGGACCACCAGCCGGGTTCGTTCACTCAGCTTGTTCTCAACACCGGTTGACATTGCGCTCCAGGTGAATATGACATCTATTTGAAGTCCCTTCCAACGCAACTAAGAAGTACACCACAACTTAGAACTCGGACAATACCGTATCGCTTCATCATCAGCCACTTGCGCTCGAGAATCAGTCCATCTCTGACGCGAGTGGTGGAAGATTTCTTCCTCCTGGGAGGCACGTGTATCGTACCTGGGCAGTGGATCCGGCGTTGGCTGACATCGCTTCTTTTTAGTGCTGTACGTTGCCTCATATGTCGCGTTGACGAGCATCAATGGACTTGTCATTAATTTTTACATTGGTTTCATTCTGTATCAGAGTGTTCTGTTTTATTTGTTTTCGTTCATAGGAAGTAGCTTAGAGCAGACCCGCTCCAATTATTCCACATTCTACTGCCACTCTACCTGGAGTTCAACCTCATGGGAGGCGAAACCTAGGAACCGGATATTAATGAACCATGATACAAATACTTCATCGTCCATGTCGCCGACAATACCGAATGATGCTTATCATGGTATTCTAGAATGATTTCCGGGAGATCCGACGGTCCTTGCAAGGAGTACTCCGGACCTTTGCTGCCCTTCCTGGATTGGCAATGATAAATTTATTTTTGAAAGTTCCACATGCATCGACAATAATAATTATCATCTTTGTATTCAACTCCCTTACTAGTAGTAAATCTACAGATGTTAGAAGGAGCTTGACGCTTGCACCGGTGACTAGAATAGACTCTAAGCCTATAAAAATAATGAAAATTCCAGCAGGGATCTCACATTGTCACAGCAAGCGCTTTGAAACACACAGGCAGGGACCAGCCATACCATCAGTGGGTTGCCCATCCAGAGTAGGGCGGGGGGATGGGCATAGGAGCAACAGTCAACACGACTCAAAGTTTTAGAAATGACAATTAATAATCTTTCTCTCCATACACTGCTGTCTGGTTGTTTGGAGAAGTAACGCTTCTCCGCCCTGTCCTTCGGGAGAGTCAACAGTTTATTATCAAATGGACGGAATGAGGGAATGGAGCGAGGGATGAGAGCGTTCGGACGGCCAGTGTTGAGTCGGGACTTGCAGCTGTTCGGCTGGTTGGTCACCCGCAAAGGCTGCAGAATGTTGAAATGTTCCAGTCTGCCTTGTTCGTCCTGCCAATGTGTCATGCAAGTAATGTCTTTTCCCTGAACGTTCAAACCCTTTTTGAAAATAGTCTGTGCAATGATGTGAAAAAGGTTGCCCATTTTGTTATTATAATATATAATATGTAGCTTTCCACTACGTGGTTCTCGGCCGTAGTTTATAAGCATGACAAGTCTTCTCGTATTATGTCAATTTGCCACAATGTACAGTCAGGTGCTATGATCGCTGCATTCATCCGTTTCCAGTTTAATTTTGTTGAAGTAAATAGTTGACTCAGTATGATGCAAGCCAGATATTGATTGATCGAAGAAGGATAGATTTGCCATCACTGTGGATAAGAGTCATACTGTACTGTAGCTCAGTTGGTTAGAGCATTGCTCGCGAATAGCAAGGTCCCTGATTCGAGTCCCGGTGGTGTGACTGATGATTTTTTCTTTCTTTCATATCTGGCTTGCACGTGTGGAGTTTCGGAGAGAAAAGACCAGTACGAGGCAAGTGGCCTCTAATTCCCTATTATACAGTACTATTTCGACAACCCTCTTTATTCACTCAGGGTGCTTGACGAATGCGGAGCGCTGTTGTGAGATGTACAATGTATGCCGATGAGCATGTCTCATAGGTTCGCCGGACGGTCGGTGGATACAGGACATCGTGCCCATCGTGCTGACTATTTCCTCACGTCAGCTGATCACAATGTAGCTAAGACTACGAGGTCTGATGCGTGCGGTTGCACCACTGAGCAGTCTCGTGTTCTCCATCCTAGGCCTAGGCACTAGATGAGTAGATGCTGGCAGAGGTTTGCACCTGTACATATCTCCTCAAACAATGGCGTTATAGGTGACCACTCACTGACTGGGTGTGTGGAGGTGTGCTTTCCTATAATTATGTGTACAATGTGTCAATGGTTTGAAAATGGTTCGAGGGCAGCGCGTTTTGATTCCGTTTCGCCTCGAAGTTAACGCAGCCTGAGATCTGCTACATCTTCTCATCGTGTGTGCTTCTTTTCCTCGAAAACCGTTTCTGATGCTGTCCTCCTGTCTGCCAGCCAAGCTCAGGCAGATGCTGCCTGGCACAACAGCACATGTGTCAGTACCAGTTTATGAAGTCAGAGGAGTACTGTTGTGAGATGTATGCCGATGAGCATGTCATAGGTTCACCGCACGGAGGTGAGGGACATAATGAGATTTGGGACGATGGTGGTTGGTGCATAACCCTCTTAACAACAGTCCTTACACTCTCTCCGATCCCCTCTCTCCTCATTGTTTTTACATGTACTACACGTCAACAGCACTACAGATAACATGCCTGGACACCCGGATTACACACCCAAGCAAATTCCGACCAAACTTCAACTCAAACAATTTTCTTCGTTATTTTCGGGTGAGTCGGCTCAAAGAAAGTGGCTGCCCCAAACCACTTGTTGAATGTTGTTGTTGGACTTGGCGCTTCCTCGATCCTGCCGACTGACTGACACTTGACTGGCTCACGTCATGTGAACATACACACAACACTGAAATTGAAACCGGGTGAGCTGGTGAGTGAGTTGAGTAGAAGTCATTGTACCATGGCTTGTGTACACGTACTTGTAACTCGTAAGCTTTCACAGAAAGCTCGTAAGCTTTCACAGAAAGCTGCTCAGTCTAGTCGAGACGAATAGATCATTCTTCAGTGTCTAAGTCACATAATACCAGTCGATGCTGGACATAGTCACATGGTGCAAGGGCAGGCAGTGAGGCTGCACCTTGCAACTAACTTGCCAAGGAACACGATCTGGAAAAATATCGCTATAGTATAATGTCCACTAACACCACCGGATACTTGACAATCAGCTCATGCGATAGCATTGAAGAATATCAGTACCGTCGGTCAGTGTCGGGCAATGTTATCGCAGGAGCTGATTCTTTAGTAACTCGTAGTGTTAGTGGACAATAGCGCAACTTGTAGTTCCTCGGTCTTTTTCTTTTCTATAAATAATCCTTGGGTCTCCATCCAAGTAAAAGTAACTCCTATACTGCCAGTCTGGTGCTGTGCTCGTGGATATGTCCAAAGTATTTGACAAGGTCAGGCACCAAGTGCTCATTAATGATTTGTTTGAGCTTGGCATATCTGGTTCAGCATTAGTTTGTTTGCCGACTATTTGTCCAATCGTCGCCAAATAGTGCACATTGCTGAGAACTATAGCCCTCCTTTCCCCTGCATGTGTGGCGTTCCCCAGGTCTCTGTTCTTGGTCCGCTGCTTTTTGTACTCTATGTTCGTTCGATCCAGTCCATTGCCTCCGAGTTTTGTGTGAAAGTTATTCAATTTAAAAAATTGGTTGTGAGCAACACTGGCTCACACTCAAATAACTGCTTTTCACCAGAAAAATACTATAATTTCAACGTTTCGGTCATGAAATAACCATCATCAGGAATGATGATGGTTATTTCATGGTTATTTCATGACCGAAACGTTGAAATATAGTATTTTTCTGGTGAAAAGCAGTTATTTGAGTGTGAGCCAGTGTTGCTCACAATCAATTTTTTACTTATGAAGCTGCGTGATGCGTCCTACAAGGTTATTCAATTTGCTGACGATATTCTATTGCATGTTTGCGGTACGCAGAAGAATGCGCTAACTCCCTGTCTGCAGCTGTCTCAGCCATTAGTACCTGGCTGTCAAACCGCAATTTAATAGACCAATCCCGAAAAGATTGTCTGGGTTCGAAAGGGGGCATGTCAACTGAGAGTACACTGTACAACACATACATGGCACTACACTTTGTACCTGATCAGCATGCGGCACAAGACGTGTTTGATAGTTCGCGTGTGAATGCGAGGGTAAGTACACGATTTTCTCGTTAGTTGCATGCAAGAGAGACGATGCGACAGAAAGCGAAGCCCTTTGTAGTTTTCTCTCTCGCACTGGTAATGGTCTGCTGTTGGAGTTGAAATGCTAAGACATAATCCTTGTTTCGCTCTTCTGTGTAGTGTGAAGAGGTCAACGAACATGTAGAGCTCACTTTGATGAAGTAGGCAAGGCTGTGAGCGCTGTGGCTCAAAGCGATAGGCCCTAAATCTTACGAGATATTTCGAGTGCTATTGTTTGTTGCGAGCGCTTCGTCTTCGATGAGTCCTGCCTCTTTCCTGGCAGCTGCCCTCCTATAGGACCAACCACGAAGTGACTGTACTCATCTGCAGCCGATCAATGTTATATTGCACAAGAAGATATCGTTTTCGCCAAGCCAGTGCCCCGCCAAAGACCATCGCCGTGTCACACCGTCGGAACGAGTTCATGATGAGAAACATCATTCGCGCGAGCGTGATGAAGAAATATTTCGAAAGACAACATAGTCTTTACCCCCGGGACGACAACTATGTGCACGTCCTGCAAGGGGAGAATGTCACCAGCGACATCAACGAAGACGACGGCAGTATTTCGGAAACCTGGAGGCAGCGGAGGTCGTCAAGCTCCTCCGCGACCCGGTACATGTACAGTATGTGACATGTCGACACGAGCGTGCGGAAACACAGCATACACTGTAGTAATGTTGCGAGAGTTTGCGGAAGGAGTCCAAGTCGGGAAATCCATCAGCTCCAAAAGCTACCTGTAGGTGGGCGATGAGACTCCAGCTTCAGACTACAACAGTCAGGACTTGTAAATAGTTGAACTTTGTGAAGCATCAGATCGAGAAGTTAGCTGAAATCGTAGCTGTTGCAGTATGTCGGCGCTATGTAGCTTGCATTTTTTACGGAGAGTCGATCGCCACGCGAATGTTTCTCTCCTCACCGAGAGCTATCTGGCCTCCAAACTCCGTCAGGGTCTGCCTAAGGTACCGAAGGTCCTTTGACTAGCTGCTGGCAGGACTCCATCAAATCCTTTAGCTTCAGCTCGGCGAGCAAAAGTCTCTCTCTCCTCCGCCATGAGCTGACACACACAAACTGAATACAAAACGATGCACTTCACACGTGCTGGCTTGCACGCGTGCCCCCTTTCACGAACCCAGACAATCTTTTCGGGATTGGTCTATTCTAAATGCCCGGAAGACACAAGTGCTCTTCCTGTCTACGCCACATATTACTGACCACTAATTTGCAGTCTACTGTCATGGAGTGCAGCTCAAGCAAGAGACATGTGCAAAGTACCTTGGAATACATTTGGACCAGGATCTTTCTTGGAGGACTCAAGTTGATTCTATGGTCACCAAACTTGCCAGTAAATTTGGTATTCTGTTCCGAAATCGACACAATATTCCGCTGACTTGCCGAGAAACCTTTGTAAAGTGCCTAGTGTTGCCAGATTTTCTATATGCATCAAATTGTTTTTCTGCTGGCCTTTCCTTAACCCAGTTAGGTAGGCTTGAACGAATGCTAAAGCGAGCTTTGCGTTCAGTGTACGATACTGGTTTTTGTAGCCCATCAAGCCCTTTATTTGTGAGACTTGGTCTAGATCGTTTGGCATCCATGTATTGCAAGAAATTACTGTGTCTGACGTGACGCTGTTTGGAAGGCCGCTGTAGTGTCACATTAAGTCAAATGTTTGAGCGTTTAAATAATGGTCTTGCAACGCGCAGCCTTGTATCACGCACTCTTAAGTTGCCCATGCTGAGAACTGCCTTTGCCCGTCATGGCGCTTCCTTCCAATGTGCTAAGCTGTGGAATGATTTACACCCTCTAGCTCGCTGTGTGGATAACTCCAATCGTTTTAAGAAACTGTTACCCCAAAGCCTAGCTTTTTCACGCTAGTACTTATGACTTTCAGCTATGCAAAATGCGAACATGATCACCTATCCAATAGTCTATTATATTAATTATTCATATCTTTTTGCATCTTTCCCTCGAGTGGGTCTATTGTTATTAGGCAATTGTCTGTTATAGTCACCACTTACATATAAAAATCCAATCCAATCCAATCCAAATATTCAATCTTTGCATGAACTTATTATAACGGCTGTAAAGACACACCTAGGAAAAGGAAAATTGGAGGTGTACCAGAAATACATTATTGAGTTGTTTACACCGGTATAAAAAAATATTTAGTTCAATTTGCTGCCTGGTGAGTTGATATGCTGGAAGAGTCACCTTGCCAAAGGGCTTGGCAAGTCTGCCGCAGCTGCTCGCCTTCTGTGACCCCCAGTGACTGCACCATTTCAGAGAGAGCACCACGTTTGTTCTGCAGTAATGCAAATGGCCGGTCGAATTCCTTGATGCGACCGCTGTCAATCACCTGACGACATAGAGAACACCACAAAGAATAATGTATATATGCTAAAGTTGTTTTCTTACAAACATGCTCGCAGCAGTGGCATTGATAATGGTACACAGCACTTTTGAATTGCTCCGCTATAATTATAATGCTGAGGACGGTCTTGTTCTCCACTGTCACATGACCTGCATTGTCAGAGATTGGAACCTGCTCAGCTGTTGGCTACCTAGCAGCATGGATCAATGATACTGCAGTGATGCACAGATAGTGGAGTAATTTACTGGCGATAGGTGCATGGTAGAACCAAGTTACTGACAACTCGCACTTGGAGTGTATGGTGCTCTTTCCAGGCCTTGCTTCAGCTCTGCACCAGCAGGAAGTCGGCCTTGCTTCAGCTCTGCACCAGCAGGAAGTTGGAATGCGACCTTCATACTCAGAAAGGAACTTGTAGTTCTCCAGACACCTCCCTAAAGTTCTCAAGAAAGTTCCATGTAGCTGAGTGGAGCCTTGCACACTGCTACTCACTAAACATCAATATATCGCTTTCCTGCAAAGAAGAGAAACAGCACTGGCACTGGGGATGAGCAAGCATTTCAACACATAGAGTAAAACCTGTGACTAACGACCACCCCTTGCGGCCAGAGAATGCGGTCTTTAGTGGCAGGTGGTCCTTAGTTAGAGGTTTGCCCGGCACAACCATCCGAGACCGTCCGTGCCTGCCGAAGTGGTCTGTAGTACCAGGCTGGTCGCTAGCCACGGTGGTCTTTAGTTACAGGTTTGTCTGTACTTACCATGATCCTGTCCGAGTCGATGATAGTGTGGAGTCGATGGGCTATGGTGATGACGGTGCAGTCTTTGAAATGCGTACGTAACGTCTGCTGGATGATGGAGTCAGTTCTGCACACACACACACACACACACACACACACACACACACACACACACACACGCGCGCGCGCGCACACGCACACATTCACCCATGCATGCATGCGCACACAGAAACAATAGAAGCAGTTAGTGCACATCATCAATTTATCAATTTATCACCCGGCCGTGATTATGACACTGATTATGTCATAGTAACGACACTGAGTATGACACTAGAGCGCAGTACGGACTAAAAAAATAGAAAAAGTAAAAAGGTTACTTGGCTATTTGAAACTCGGATGTTGAGCCATAAATAAAATTTAATGTAGAAAGGAAAAGGACATATGGGTACGAGTTGAGAGTAGCTCTCCATCACTGTAACTGGATATTATACAGTCAGAAAGTGCAATAACTAGGCACAAAACTGACAAGAGTACTGAGACATTCGACGATTTCTGACTGTATATAGTATCCAGTTACAGTGATGGAGAGTTACTCTTAACTCGTATCCTTATGTCCTTTTCCTTTCTACATTTATTTATGGCTCAACATCCGAGTTTCAAATTGCACACCTTATGAGCCGTCACGAACCATACGGCGAAACGTACGTCGTGTGAAACAACTTGTTTTGTAGTCAACTAGTCCATCACAATGTCATGCATGAGGAGTACTGTAGGAGTTTGGCTTTCGGCTTGTACAATTCGTTTTCGCAAAGCTTCCCCTTTCTTTACTTATCTTTGATATTTATGACCCACCCAAGTTGGGTGGTGTGCTGCTTTGCTGCTTCAAATTGTAGTTAGACCGCTTTCTCAAATATCGTACTGGTCTCGTCATCGTCCAGTAACAATCGACATTCTTTGTTCCGTTGGGACTGTAGCTTTTGCTCGTTTTCGTTGCGCTTGCCTTCCCCTCTTTGGTCTTTCCATAACCTGGAACCTTCCAAGTTGGAAGGCTGTCGGTTAGCGCTGCGGAGATGTGTTGAAGCTAGGTGTCAGGACGTCGAATGTCTCAGTACTCTTGTCAGTTTTGTGCCTAGTTATTGCACTTTCTGACTGTATATAGTATCCAGTTACAGTGATGGAGAGTTACTCTTAACTCGTATCCATATGTCCTTTTCCTTTCTACGGTTACTTGGCACTTATTCTTTTGCTGTTGCTGCTGTCCCTGCAGTGCATACGGTAATGTCTTGCTTACAGTCAGTGTTGCATGGCTATGCGTTAGTGTAGCGCGGCTGTGGTTGCCATGGTGTGGGTGTATGAAGGAGAGAAAAAAGGGAGTAAAAAGACCGCTTACTATCTGTTTTATCAAGCCTAATGTACCAGTACAGCAATGCTTCCTAGACTTACGATCGGACAAGCCGGTCGGTTCTCATGACCAGTGTCATTTTGCTACCTTCACTATACATCAGCATGTCAAAATGCTTTTGTCTTGGTCAAAACACAACATTGGCAGTCTTGGATAGCTGTAAAACACTTATAAACATTTCCCTTGTGGATCCAGCTCGTCTTTACTGGATTTTGAGAAGTCAGAACTCGCACTGCACATTACCACCATTCTCTACTCACTGCCTGTCCACGTTTGCCGTTGCCTCGTCAATCATCAATATTCTATTCCGGTTCAGCAAAGCCCTGGCCAGGCAGATCAGCTGACGCTGTCCAACACTCAAGTTTGATCCGTGCTCTGTCAGTTCTGCTTCCAAACCCTTGTTCAACTGGGAGACGTATTGCTTCAGCTCGACCTGTTGCGTGTGACGCACACACATACAAACAGACACGTAAACAAACACATACATGCACAACACACACTATCACGTACAAACATGCACACATACACAAACATGTACATGTACATGTACACACACACACACAAACATACACACACACACACACACACACATACATACACACACACACACACCTCAATGTAGACAAGTGGAATACCACAAGCTTTTTGCCAGAGGTTTCTCTTGCCAAGCAATTCACCGAACTTCATCATCCTGCCTTGCATTTAGGACATCATGTAACACCGTCTGCGTGCCCGCATGCATCAGCCACAAATCCTGATGCCGTATGCGGTACAAACATCGCTAGCAATACAGTACGACTATCTATGGTTGTCCTCAGCGTCCCAGTGCCTAGCATTATTTACTTCAGTACCGTATTTTCCGGAGTATAAGCCGCACTTTGAACACTCAATATTCACCCCAAAAAACGGGGTGCAGCTTATACTCCGATGATCAAATTAATGGTGGTAAATAGAGTAGATGTCTGTATTTCATGGAAAAAAACATGTGGATGCGGCTCATGGTCCAAACAATACAGTAAATATATTGACTTACCATCTCTAGTGCATTCCAGAGGTAGACATCGTGATATCTGCTAAACGGGTCAAGGTTATATCTTAGTGTACCGCTGTACAACACTGGATCCTGAAAACAAGCAATGACACCCACAAACACTGAACACATTCAAACAGCTGCAGGTGGCTGAGTTGCACACTTAGGTTGCTCACTGGCAGTATCCATGGCTACACAGGTCATAGCTACTGCTTACAGTGTAGAGGGGAGGGTGGTGGTGGTGGTGGTGGTGGTGGTGGTGGTGGTGGTGTTGGTGGTGGTGGTGGTGGTGGCGATGGTGGTGGTGGTGGTGGTGGTGGTGGTGGTGGTGGTGGTGGTGGTGGTGGTGGTGGTGGTGGTGGTGGTGGTGGTGGTGGTGGTGGTGGTGGTGGTGGTGGTGGTGGTGGTGGTGGTGGTGGTGGTGGTGGTGGTGGTGGTGGTGGTGGTGTTGGTGGTGTTGGTGGTGGTGGTGGTGGTGGTGGTGGTGGTGGTGGTGGTGGTGGTGGTGGTGGTGGTGGTGGTGGTGGTGGTGGTGGGGAGGGGGGGGGGGGGGTAAAAGAGGAGAGGGAGGGGGGGGGAGAGAGAGAGAGAGACAGATGGAGGGAGGGAGGGAGTGGGGCCTCAAAACCTCCCCATCAGGTGCAGGCATTGATCTGAAATGGAATATACTGTCATCCATGAGAGATATAGACACAATATCACCGCTCCTATCCTGAGGGCCCCTGAAATAGCAGAGAAACACAAGGATTGTCTATTATGTTGGTGTGAACAGAGCCGATGCTTAAAAATATATTTCTGTTGTTGCCAGCATACCTGTGGGATGATGGACAGTTTCTGTCTCATAGTGCTCAGCAACACTTTGTCCAACTCCACGCCATCAATCATGACTTTACCGCTTGTAGGAGCAAGCCTAAACAATGCGTTGATGAACGATGATTTGCCGGCACCGGTACGACCTACTATGCCAATCTGCACAAGGACACCAATGTCAGAAAGATAATTCAGAGATGAGAGCGAATAGCTGTGTTTGTCAATGCAGGGCAATACACACAATCTCAGCCCAGCAGACAGGTGTAGTAGATACTCCCTGCCATGCCTTGATCGCACAAGTAATCCTAGCAGCGCTTATCCACCGTATGCAACTCAGATAATTATTTCATGAAGAAGTGAGTAGATGATTGCCACACAAGTACCTTCTCCCCGGGTAGTATATCAAAGTTGAGCTCCTTCAGTACAGCTGCACCATCCGGTGAGTAGGAATAGCTGACATCTTCACCGGTTACTCTGCCATGTTGTGGCCAATTCTCTGGTAGCTGTACAGGCAGTGCTGGCTCACGCTCTGCTTCCAGCTCACTGTACGCCAGAATGCGCTCGGATGACGTCATCTAGTAGTGCAGGAGACAAAGCGTAGAGTAGAGAATGACTATAATACTGTTGGGCGTCGAAGAACTGGGCGGGGGGGGGGGGGGGGGGGAGGGGGGGTCAGCCTACTCGTAGCCTATGCCGTTCTTATTTTCATGTATTACAGACTTTTACAGTCTACCCACAGTTGAGTCATGGTGTATACATTGGTATGCTGTGCCTGGTGATATGCTAGACCGTTCACTATTCGGCGCCCGACAGTACTGTGCAGTCTTTACTTTTACATGACTAGTCACATGACTAGTCACATGACTAGTCACATGACTAGTGACATGGACACACTGTCATGACTAGTCACATGGACACACTGTCATGACTAGTCCTACACTGTCACGCAGTTAATCAAGTTTAAATGTGCACGTGCTTGCTCACTGCGGAGATATCACCCCGCAGCTCATAGCACAGCAGCGGTGGTAGTCCAGATAAAATTCCCAAGCTAAATTTTAATCAACGAGTACAGGTTTCAATTGTGAAGGAAGCATTGACCTTGGGCACAGTGAACTCTCCATACTCCACTTAGGAGCAGTCTGCTACTTCGATGACTTACAAAATAAATGATCAACTTTCCAATGCAACGGTCGAGTCTGCCAAAACTTCTGCTTCCATGCTGTACTGATCTACTGTTAGGTCTGGGTGTCGCTTGCATGAAGTAATCACAATTCACCAGCGGGTGTGACCACAGACTCAGGTACTACACTGGTGCATTCAGTTAGCACAGCGGTGCGTGTCTACTCTTTCGTGTTCTCTTTCTCTCAGTCTTCTACCTTCTTCCATATTCAATACCTCTGTAAATATACTATCCTTCTTCGAGTCGTGAGGGGACTGCATGTTTAGCCAGGAGCTAACAGGACAACAATAAGAAATATGCACCTTAGAACAACACCAATCAGAAATATGTACATTAGAACAACACCAATAAGAAATATGCATTTCCTTGGCAATCGACTTACTAGGTCCTCTGCATCAGCAGACATTCTCACCGTCCACTGGATGTAGCCATAGAAAGCAATTTGATAGGTTATGGTCAGGCCAAACGTGCCAGCGTCCAGCTGAAACACATTGCCGTAATCAAACATGAGCAGCGCCGCAAAGGACGTGGCTGACAGATAGAACGCTCCGAGTAGCTCCAATCGACAGGACAGCCAACGCACCACGGCCAAGTAGCACAGCCATCCGCGCGTGTGCGCATCGAGTAGATTGTTAAACTTGGTCTGTAGTTGGTCCTGTGCACCGGCAGCTCTGATTGTTGTCAGACCTTGCAGTGACGATGAGAATTGAGAGAACACTGGACTGCGAGCTGGGCACATAACACGTGTACAGTATACATGTATTGTTGCGAAATTGTATTACGACTATGATTTACGCATGTTGTTGTATTTGGCTCTTGTCTTGTAGAGTCCAGTGTCTGATGTCATATATGGTCTAAGTGTACGTGCGAGTATGGTGTGAGGTGTGACGTTTATGGTATGTGGTGTACGCTCGAGTACCCGTTGTCAGAGTGTGAGAATCTGCTTCCGTCTGTGTGAGAGTGACTGTCAAGTGAATGCTGTACATGCGCAGTGCTAGTTTGGTCTGGGAATGAGAGTCATGTGTTATTCGTCCGTGGTCTGGTTGTCTTGGTCTTGGTCATGTGTTCTGTACGTATTAGTCCCTGATTGGTCGTCCCGATTGGTCGTCGCTTTACTACTGCTTGTTCTTTGTCGTTTCTTCGTGCCTTTTCCGTTGACTTTTTGTCGTGTCCATTTTCGTCTTTCTCGTCCTGCGCCCCCGCCGTTTATTATTGAGAAGTGAATACTAGTATTGAAACTAACTGAACGGTGTGCTGTTGTTTGGCGGGGGCCCAGGGGGAGAAGGCTAATTCCATTATTTTCATATTATAGCTACTGAAAATGCTTTTCAATATTTAATTCTCACTGGATGACACTCCTTCGATACTGCGATTCACACTTGTAGACGTTACGGCGGAAAGGTTCGGCATGGCTGTATGAGCTGAAATCACGTGATTTTAACCAGTATAACTTGATCTGATCGGCACCCGCCTGCCAATGTATTAGCCAGGGTAGCTGGTGTATCAGCATTAGCTTTGGTACTATCCATATTCCGGCTAGGGTGCATTCCCAAGGGTCTAGCCAGTCAACTCTACTAGACAAGTATCAGCAGGAGTAGTAAAGCACTGCGGTAGTGTATTGGTATGACAACAAAAAACCAATCAATAGCTACTGTATGCCATGCGGTATACCATGATCAGTTATGACACACTTCACTGCTACAAACACGGCAGTAGCCAGTGTTTGATACTAGAAACACAGCAGTAGCCAGTGTTTGATACTAGAAACACGTCAGTAACCAGTGTTTGATACTAGAAACACGTCAGTAACCAGTGTTTGATACTAGAAACACGGCAGTAGCCAGTGTTTGATACTAGAAACACGGCAGTAGCCAGTGTTTGATACTAGAAACACGGCAGTAGCCAGTGTTTGATACTAGAAACACGTCAGTAACCAGTGTTTGATACTAGAAACACGGCAGTAACCAGTGTTTGATACTAGAAACACGTCAGTAACCAGTGTTTGATACTAGAAACACGGCAGTAGCCAGTGTTTGATACTAGAAACACGTCAGTAACCAGTGTTTGATACTAGAAACACGTCAGTGACCAGTGTTTGATACTAGAAACACGGCAGTAACCAGTGTTTGATACTAGAAACACGGCAGTAACCAGTGTTTGATACTAGAAACACGGCAGTAACCAGTGTTTGATACTAGAAACACGTCAGTGACCAGTGTTTGATACTAGAAACACGGCAGTAACCAGTGTTTGATACTAGAAACACGGCAGTAACCAGTGTTTGATACTAGAAACACGTCAGTAACCAGTGTTTGATGCTAGAAACACGGCAGTAGCCAGTGTTTGATGCTAGAAACACGGCAGTAACCAGTGTTTGATACTAGAAACACGGCAGTAACCAGTGTTTGATACTAGAAACACGTCAGTGACCAGTGTTTGATACTAGAAACACGGCAGTGACCAGTGTTTGATACTAGAAACACGGCAGTAACCAGTGTTTGATGCTAGAAACACGGCAGTAGCCAGTGTTTGATACTAGAAACACGGCAGTAACCAGTGTTTGATACTAGAAACACGGCAGTAGCCAGTGTTTGATACTAGAAACACGGCAGTAGCCAGTGTTTGATACTAGAAACACGGCAGTAACCAGTGTTTGATACTAGAAACACGGCAGTAACCAGTGTTTGATGCTAGAAACACGGCAGTAGCCAGTGTTTGATACTAGAAACACGTCAGTAACCAGTGTTTGATACTAGAAACACGGCAGTAACCAGTGTTTGATACTAGAAACACGTCAGTAACCAGTGTTTGATACTAGAAACACGTCAGTGACCAGTGTTTGATACTAGAAACACGTCAGTGACCAGTGTTTGATACTAGAAACACGGCAGTAGCCAGTGTTTGATACTAGAAACACGGCAGTAACCAGTGTTTGATACTAGAAACACGGCAGTAGCCAGTGTTTGATACTAGAAACACGGCAGTAGCCAGTGTTTGATACTAGAAACACGGCAGTAACCAGTGTTTGATACTAGAAACACGTCAGTAACCAGTGTTTGATACTAGAAACACGGCAGTAGCCAGTGTTTGATACTAGAAACACGGCAGTAACCAGTGTTTGATACTAGAAACACGTCAGTAACCAGTGTTTGATACTAGAAACACGTCAGTAACCAGTGTTTGATACTAGAAACACGGCAGTAACCAGTGTTTGATACTAGAAACACGTCAGTAACCAGTGTTTGATACTAGAAACACGGCAGTAACCAGTGTTTGATACTAGAAACACGTCAGTAACCAGTGTTTGATACTAGAAACACGTCAGTAACCAGTGTTTGATACTAGAAACACGGCAGTAGCCAGTGTTTGATGCTAGAAACACGTCAGTAGCCAGTGTTTGATACTAGAAACACGGCAGTAGCCAGTGTTTGATACTAGAAACACGGCAGTAGCCAGTGTTTGATACTAGAAACACGGCAGTAGCCAGTGTTTGATACTAGAAACACGGCAGTAGCCAGTGTTTGATACTAGAAACACGGCAGTGACCAGTGTTTGATACTAGAAACACGGCAGTAACCAGTGTTTGATACTAGAATCTTACCAACGGCTTCCAGGCGCTTGATTTCACGGGAAGATCGGATGTACTTTCGGCGCAGAAACACGAATGCAACAGCCATCGGTGGGACGGCAATGAGTGTTGTCGGATTAGCGTAGGAGATGAAAGTCGCAAATCCGCACATCACAAGGAACCACTGAAGAAACGACATATCATAGATAACACTAACAATTGCCCAACTTGGCAGTATTGTGGACACATAACAATCCGAGAAATGGCACACAGGAATGGGTCATAGGTCTCTTCCGTTTTAAATCCCGATCACAGGATCACACGCACATTCCCAGTGTGCACAGCAAGGCACTCCACTCCGCCCACGCTGAACAAGGTAGGTTTGGTGCATGCGTTCACACATTCAGAGCAAAGTGCATACGCTGACTTTCAAGCCGAAAACAGTGTTTCCAAAGAGCATACTGCACTAGTACTAATACTGTCTGGCAAGTAGGGTTCATCTCCGCTGCAGCACATCTCTTGCTAGTGCAGCAGGAACAGTACAGATCCAAGACACATTAGCAAGAGCGGTGATTCTAACAGCCCTCACTTACGGTTAGAAACTCATAGAACACAACTGGAAGCAGAATGTCCAGCAAGTTCAGATCTTTCGCAAACCGATTCAGAATGCGGCCTATTCATTGGAACGACAAAGAACAGATTTCAACACAGAAGAATATCGCTAATGCACACTGAATCATCTCTCTGTCCCGTGTTAATGGGTCTGGGTCCGCAAGGAGGAGACAGCACTTTCTGTCCAATTGAACGAACACCAAAGCAGTGGCGTAGCTGGTCCACATTTTTCGGAGGTGCACCCCTGGCGGGCTTCACAGCTGGCATTGAGCTGCTATCCCTAGATCATCGTTTAGCTCGGACATGGCCATGCTGAATGGAAGTCGGGAGAGTTTGGTGATGCACATGCTCACTATGCTCATCACTACCTATGACTATGAGCCTTTAAGGTATCTTCTGTACAATAGCATATACTAGTGCTTTCTTCAATATATGAAAGTGGGTCGTGTTCTCCACCTATCGTCCAAACATTCACTCCTCATTTGGACGACATGCCGGTATGACTCTCTCATAGTATTAGAGAAAAGCCCAGTGCCGCCTAATGGATACTTATACACACGTTTGCCACTCAAATATCATGGTGTGTGGAAAGAAGGCAGCAAATGGTACGTCACATCTGATAATGTGCGTGCTTCTCTAGAAGTAAAGTCCTGTCACATACACCGTGATGATCAGCAGCAGCAGCAGAACAGAACAGCAGGCGCTTAGCACCGCTGTTGGAGGTGATCTGGCCGGAAGGGGGTCGGGGTCTCCCCCGAGAAAATTTTGAAATCGGGGTGCAAATTCCTGCAATCTAGGCACTTTTGGCATTGTGTTAACCCTTTAGGGCCCACATTTATTTCAAGGAATGCACTGCATACGCGAGCCCGGGTACTTATCTGGTCGTTACTTTGGTGTCCTTTGGCCGGTTTTGGTGATCTTGGGCTTTCTGGAAAGCTCTTGGCCAGAGGAACACAGCGATACCCAACAATCCATCATGCAATCCACAGAACCAGCGCCGCAGCACGATTTGGCGCTCCAAAGCCAGCATTGCGAGCGCCCAACTCAAATTCTCTGCCATTTCAACAAAATGTATCGCAGATCGCTCACATTTTTTTACATTAGAGCTGAGAAACATGCCTTTGCGATGACGTGAACTATCTGAGGCTGTGCGAGTCTGTGCGAGGCTGTGCGAGGCTGTGCGAGTCAGGAAAAACCCCAAAAACGAGTTCAAAATGCACGCGCCCGAAGTGACTCTGCTGAGCGTATTTAGTTCGAGTCTCATACCTCCGATCTCCGAGCTCGGATCGCCTTCGGGGTTTTTCGAACCGATAGCTGAGACAATTCTAATGTCGATGAACCTTTCCATGGTGCGATTTGGTCAAGGGACGGCCGAGTTACGCCAGGTTGCGCTTTGAAAAGTATGCAATGTACACTGGTACGGATATATCCGTACTATGGGCCTCAAAGGGTTGAAAAAGAGTGGTCCTGGCTTTGGCCTCCTGGCTTTGGCTGGACCACTGTTTTTTTTAACAGAATGCCAAAAGTGCCCAGAATTCAGGTTTTGCACCCTAATCTTAAATTTTTCACGGTGGAAGGGGAGACCCCTTCCCCCCCCCCCCCCTCCACCACCCCTGCTACGCCTCTGAACAGTGTGGCTAGCCTGGCTTACCGCTGGGGTTGGTGTTGAAGAAGAGCATTGGAGCTTTCAAGATGGAGCTCAGCATCATCTCGTGCAGTGCCTTGGACGAGCGCACTAGAATCTGCCTGATGACTACGCTGCGGAAGGTTGCCAACGCAACACTTAGTGCCAGCAGTCCACTCCACACACCGACAAAGTAGCCAGTGCTATACTTGAGCTGCCGCTGGATGCTATCTGTGCCGCTCTGATTGGTAAGGGTACGAGGTGAATAGCAATTTCTGGACATGAAAATAAAATAGAGGCCCACTGGCTGTGTGTTTTACATTTTTCATATCCATTTGTATCTATTGTATGGCCTAATCCTTCATCTTTCCAAATATGTGACAATTGCTCATGCTGTGATCCCAGAGACTTTATAGCAGGATGTTTTCGACAGGCCAATTTTTTGGCCTAAATTCCAGTGTATGGAATTCTGGACATGAAAGTAAAATAGCGTCAATAGGCATCCTATACTGCACCATTTTTGTAATTTTTTCTATTGGTGGACTGCAGTTGGCCTCTTCACACTTCCAGCCAACAGGTCCAAGACTATACAGCGTCTGAAGTGGAGTGCACATGGGGAAGCCAACGATTCGTCCATTACTTCTTATTTTACTCAAAATTCAAAATTCTCATGCGACATAGTACCACAAAACTCGTTGAAATGCCTCCCACGAAAAGGCTATCAACAAGGCACCGACACGAGGAGAAACTACAACAGCCCAGCTGTCAACTACAACAAGAAAAAACTTCATCAACCTGACTGACTTGACTGTACACGCGACGAAAAATTATTTTACTCGAAATGTCCAGAAATGTCCAATGTCCAGAAATAGCAATTCACCTCGTAGTGTTGTTATCTGTCTCAGCTTCACTGGCATTGGTCCAGTTCATAGGCGATGAAACTGTTGTGTTGAAATTTGATGTCCTATAGGAAACACATCACATTGAAACACCAGTCGTGTCAGCCAGATCAGCATGGCAGGGGAATGGCACAGCAAAAGATTTATTAATAAAGAGAAATGAAGTGAGAATATAAACTTATGAGAATGATAATAGAGGATATTATCATTCTCATAGGCTTATATTCTCACTTCGTTTCTCTTTATCAATACATATCTTGAATGTTTTACATTAGTACAACGTAGCTTCCTGAGGAGTGTTGTGCGAAAACTAGTTTGAAATATTCTATTTTCATCACTTCTTCCATATCACATTTGTTTCTCCTTCCCTACTAAAGAGAACATAAGTAATTCAGTGAGGTGTGTGACACCACTCATTGAGCTCTGCAATCCAGCATAACTATGTACTGGACAGCATGTTATGATTACGTAATCCACAGAATGAGGGGCATTCAGCATGACAGGCAGTCAGCATTGCTAAAGCTTACCAATTTGCTAGCCACCAGTCAGAAGTGATGATGGATGCCTGAAACACACAGACGCACACATCCACACAGACAGAAACACACACACACACACACACACACACACACACACACCTTTGACCTTGACCTTTGACGCCCATCGCCGGAGGCGATGATAGCAATGCTACGGCAGAAGCCATAGCAACTTGTGCTGGGATTTCACCATTCAACAGCTTGCAAGGCTGAAGAATTGACCGTCACTATTCAGCCTGGTCTACACCATACAGCTATTCGGAGTGACATTTTCTGGCCAGTGAATCCCTATTTTTGGTCTTTTCATTTTTTTCCCGCACACACATCACACCACATACTCCGGCATGCACTGGCTGTTGGTAACCACCCAGGAGAATGAAAGAAAAGTCAGGAAGAGTCTGAGAAAGAGAAGAAAGACGTGTGTGACCATAATCGTCGGGAATCGAACCCGCAATCTATCGATTGGAAATCGCTGCACATACCACTGCACCATATGGGACACACACACACACACACACACACACACACACACACACACACACACACACACACACACACACACACACACACACACAGGCGCACATGTACATGCACACGTGTAATGGGAACGGCGACGTTTCGGAACACTGTACAATGCAATAGTCCAGTCTACCGTACATTGGAGATAACATACCTTTCACTTTTCATTTGTAAACACCTCCATCCACAAACAGGCTTGATGATTGCCCTCATGATGCCCAATGGGCGAAATGTTGGCAGAAATTTATTCTTGTCGTGCAGCTGAGGGTCTGTTCAGGGAATGGAGGTGTTAACAAGTGGAAAGAAACCGCTGCAGTGGAGCAGGAGAGTTACTTGGAAACGTTTTCTCTTTTCATGGGATATAAAGCACTAGAAGATTACATACTCACTACTCAGTATTTCACAATTTTCATGAGGATCAGTCAAATCATTTTTTCCACATCTGCAAGAGCGCAACTACCCTCACACTTGAGGATCAACCAAGGAAAATTGCAGAAGAGTAAGGAAAATGGGAGATCCGAGAATGAGAAAGACATAGTCGACCCCGCACTGCACTGCACTGCACTGGTGAATATACTAGTCCAGTGGAGGTTGTGTACTTAGAACACACTAACACAACTTACTTGTGCAATGATGAAGATAGAAATGGCAAATAGAAGCGTTGCCTTGTTAGCTCCAGCTCTGAAGAACTTCCAGTAATGCTCCCACTTAACGGAGCCAATGGAACGATCTTCAGCAACCTCGCCCTCATCATCACTTCTGTCTTGGCTGAACTACAGCAGAAAGGATGGGAATGAGGAACAATACACGATGCATCAGAAGCTAAAAAGCCCACGGGATGAGTGCAGAGTGGTGGCGTGCATGGAAAGCTTCACCAGCCATGGGGTATCCATGCGTACTGTCTCTCAACAAATGTTCGGGAAGTACAGGAGGCATACAGAGCCAACAATAAGGAACGCAAGGGAGATTAGGTAAAACAAGTCTACCAGAAATATTTCCACATCATCACACACTGCTAGGATATCAATAGTGTGATTAGTAAACAAACAACCAACTGATTGACAAACTGGTGTTTTAAAATAATGAGATCACAGCAAGCAGAAGCCACTCAACTAACCGGATCACCTGCACCTTCTGCACTGCGCTCTCCTTCTGATCTGCTGGTGTCCTTCGCTAGACTCTTTGCAAGGCCAAGATCTGACGCCAACAATTCTGAGTATGTCCACGTACCGAGAGATCTTCCCTGCATTTCCAGAACACAACACCAAGATAAGTTGCAGCTACGTCTGCGTTGTACAGCAGAATCGGCAGTGTGTTGCTCTCACCTGGTCAAGGACAAGTATTCTGGCAGCCGAGCTAAGGTACTGTTGCTGATGAGTGACGAGCAGCACAGCCTTCTCCTTCAGCATGCCACATATACACCTGTGCACGAACACAGTCAAGACAGTAGCATACACACGGATACACATACAGACGCGCACATACACATGTGCACATAAACACATGCACGTACACACACAGACACAACCATAACACACACAAAAACATACACGCGCGCACACACACACACACACACACACACACACACACACAGCAGCCACAGCAGCAGCAGCATTTTGGTACAGGTGAAAGACCTGGGCAGCTTGGCACCAACCGTTGTCCACCATCTAGAATTACCTATCAGAACATACCCAACGGCAGACTCCATAACAAATCAGCAAATACAATGCAAGTACCGACATGGTGAGCCAAGGAAAATATTATATTGAAACAAAGGAAAACGCCGTGCTTCGGGACGTGAGACAGATCATCTCCACAAGACCGGACCTAGATGCAAGTCTCGGCTTGCCGATCGATATGAAGTACGCCAACGATGTCACTTTCCTGTGCTATTTCCTCTCCTCTGACTGCAAATGTGTTCAAGAGCTCCTGTCCGACATGGCAAAGTGCATCAAAGCCTGGGTTCTACGGTTGCAAAAAGCGTCAGTCTGATTGATTACATTGGAGCACACGAGCCGTGATGTTTAATTTCAAGCTGTCGTTGGTGTTAATGAAGGAAATGGAAAACCTACTTCACATGGTCTAGAAATGCCGTCTAAAAATTGTTAAAATTTCAGACAAAAACCCTCTCTACTGATTGCATACTCACTTCTCAAATATTAGGCGTCCAACCTCAGCATCCACTGCACTCAGAGGATCATCTAGTAAATAGACATCAGCATCTTGATATACTGCTCTGGAACATTGGGCAAGAATGCAGAGAAAGAGGTATAGTTCAGAAAGAGGTATACCCGGAACTTTTTTAAACAACATAGATAGTCATGTACATCTCCGCCTCTATGTACAGTCAAAACCTGAAAAGACGTACTCACAAGGGAACACGGAAAAAGTACTTCCTAGCCAAAGTACTTGCTACACCCGTGCTGCAATCAAGTGTGACAATGTTTCGTCAACTGCAAAAAGTACGTACTACACAATAGTACGTCTTTCTCCCTGTACGTACTAAGCGGTTTTGACTGTACACGTGCATACCAGCTGCTCGGACTACACTACCGTGCGCCAATGCATAAGTACTATACGGGTTCACGTACAGGGCGGGTCAAGAACCACCTATCTCCTTCCGGACGCCGAAACATGCGTGGTAAAAATTATCATAAGGCGTTTTAAATAATCATACTGAACATAATCATAAAGTCATTTTAACTTGATCTGGTCGACTGAGTGGTAACGCAATCAAGCGACTAGCCCTGCAGGGCTGTTGAGGCTGCCAAGTCTGCATACTGCACTGCTGAACCACTACTGCTGAAGGCCTAACTTGTCAGATCTGTTGCTGGAACAGTTTAATCTAGCAAAGAACAAGAAACATGCTGACATTACACTTCGTTGCGACTAGGAAAAACATTCCCGGGGACACGGTGTTCTCCCGTAAAGTGCAGCACTCTCCTCAAAGGTTTCATGACACAGACGCAGTGGCAATTGATTTTCCCCACACACCCACGCACACACCCACACACACCGGGCTTTCCATGCATTCCATTAATATTATGTGATGGGGTGTTTCGGAGGTGAAAAGTGAAAAGGGCACTCCACCCTTCCTAGTGACCCCAAATAGCGGAGTTGTCCAAACAAACACAACTTAATGGCAAGTCTTGAATTTACCTGGCCAGCCCTATCCTTGCTTTCTGACCTCCGCTGAGTTTAACACCGCGCTCACCAACCAACGTTTGATCACCATATGGCATACCTTGCAAGTCCTGCAGGAGAACAAATATAGATACCCATGTGCCTGAGCATCATGTCCGACACAGGGACACACGATACACATATCATGTCCGACACAGGGACACACGATACATATATCATGTCCGACACAGGGACACACGATACATATTCTAACACAACATTGAGCATCATGTCCAACACAGGGACACACGATACATATATCATGTCCGACACAGGGACACACGATACATATTCTAACACAACATTGAGCATTATGTCCGACACAGGGACACACGATACATATATCATGTGCGACACAGGGACACACGATACATATTCTAACACAACATTGAGGGACAGAGGAGAGAGAGAGAGATAGAAAGAGAGATAGATAGATAGAGAGAGAGAGAGAGAGAGAGAGAGAGAGAGAGAGAGAGAGAGAGAGAGACACACACACACACACACACCAGTGGCGGATCCAGGATCCGAAACAAGGGGGGGGGGGCACACTACAGGCTCAATGGAACAAGTTTACTTTTACAATGACTTTTGTGATACTCGAACATGTAAATGTATGGGCACTATTGGTATAATATAACAATCAGCAATTGTACCAACCAAACGGAAAAAGACCTCACGAGCGGCACATCCACTAGCAGCTGTCCTAGCTTCCTTCGCAGGTGGCAGCGAATCAAACAAGGTAAGTTGCTTCCTTCTCTTTATTTTCGAACTGCTGTAAAACAACAACGAGGTTCTGGAACGCCAAGGCAAGTGAGGTTTGCAAGGCAAGGGCAGGAAAATCTACGCATTGCCATGCGAAGTTTTGGACTGTGTACTTGCACTTGTACCGTCTTTGTTTTCGTACTACGAGTACAGTGCAGTACTAGACCAAAACCGTAGTTCTGGTGCGCACGGATCGCGGATCGCGGAATACAGATCGACGCGACGAGAGTTGACAGTTCACAAGTTCAGTACACGCGTACCGCGTATCGATCTACGGACCTGGTGAACCAGTGCATGAATGTGTACAGTGCATGCAGTACAGCGACTGGGCCTTGTCATCTACACAGGAAGTGCGCGCGAGCTCGGTTTCGATCGAGATCAGTAAATAAAAAAAGTCGGTCGGCGCTTCTGAAGGGGGGGGGGGGGCACGTGCCCCCTTCGCCCCCCTCTAAATCCGCCACTGCACACACACACACACACACACACACAAACACACACACACACACACACACACACAAAGAGAGAGCCCTAACTTTCCAGTCACTCACAGGGCAATGGAAAGTCTAAACCGTCATCAATATTCAGCTTGCCCCTAAGATCATTGGCAGGTTGACTGAGAGAAAACAACATGAATAACACTACCAAAAGTGCAGCTAATCCAGGCTGTTTCTTCCACAGTATACAAGTGCCACAAGATGCTTGCTGCTTGGATTCCAGAGAGGAAATAATAACCGTTTGAAAGGAGTCTTTGCCCAGCAGATTTTCCTGCTACAACTGCCAGGGAAGGTAAAGATAGCCTATCGCTTGCATGGCTTGATCAATGCCCAGCAAGTATGGTAGGCACCACTGCAAGCAAGATGTGATTGAAAAACAAAACAAAAGAAAAGATCACCAGTCACTTCACCAGGGCACGTACCAGGACAAACAGCCAGAGTCCTGCCGGTATGAGCCCCGGTGAAGTGACTGAGGAGTTTTCCCTTCTTTCCTATCTGGCTTGGAAATGTTCAGTTTCGAAGGTGGCCTAGTTTCTACCATAATTCGGCATCAAATCTACATAACCACTCGTCGGTAGTTTTTGAATAGTGGTTTCCAGCCAACCTCTCACGTCGCATTTTGATGTGAATTTTGTTTACCAGCTGTGTCCTGACCCACCAGGGCCTAGCCCACTGGTCCGTGGACAATACGTCACCCTGCTGTAAAGGATATCGACGGCGTATGCATGTATCAATACTCAACTGGATGGTCTCCACAACAGCATTAATCCAATCCATTGTTACAGCCCTGTATCACTTTTAACTGGCATGTTACTGAAATGATTGTGCGTGTATCGCCCAGACCCTTGTTGTTGACTTTGTTTTTCGAATAATCCTGCATACTGGTTTATCAATATCGTCCTTGTTTAGAAGAAACTCAGACTCTCCCAGTTGAAACTAGCCCGAGGACAAATCAGTGCATAAGAATTGCTTACCTTATCCAGACAACAGCCCGCCACAACAGATTTATAGCGATCTGCGTCAAAGGTTCTGCCAAAGACTATGTTATCCTGGACACTGCCGGAGAACACCCAGGGAAGCTGCAAGAGAAGAATGGAGAATTTAGAGTGAAGCACGTGTCACTACAAAAAAACAAGATGCAAACAGAGGTGAAAAGGTGACTTGAATGAAGTCGGTTGCTTGCTCCTATGTGAAACACACGCTTTCTGCCGAATTGAACACTTGATTGGGCATGTATTCCACGTAGGAGCCACCAACTTTGTTTACTAACACCGCCAAAGTCGCTACTTCTAAGAGACTTTTCTCTTCTTTTGTTTTGAAAATTCACTCCCTTGAACTTGTAAACCTCCTCGTCCCTCCCCCTCCCCTCCTTACACCTTCTCTCTCTCCCTCTAAACCGTCATGGTGGTAGTTGTGTCCAATAACACCAAGATGAACTGACCTACTGACTCAGATGAATTCAAGTACAGAATAAGCATTCATGCAAGATAGCAGAACACAACGCACACATACACCACGTACACACGTACACATAGCACACGCCTACCTGTGCCGCATAGGCTACATCCCCTTGCACAGTACAGTGTCCAGACCTGACATGCAGCTCACCAAGGAGGGACATTAGTAACGACGTCTACAGGGAACCATGCACATACATGCACACACGCACGCATACACACAGAAAAAGAAAATTTAAAACAATGATCACCAGATTTGTACACTAGAGCATAATCCATTCCCAGTTTTACATTGTATGGTTATGCTTTGAACTTGAGAAACTGGACCGCGATATCGGAATATCTAGCAGCATTTCCATGTGTTTTGTACAATGGGACGTATTCATCAATTTCTGCCATTAGGTTTTGCGGGCCAAGTCCACTACAACCGTACATACTTCGGCACCAGCTCTGCATGAAATGTCATGGACTTTGTGAGGTCATACTCCTGAACGTAATAGAATAGGTTGTGCCTGGCAAGTATGGGGTAACTTGCCCTGCAACTAGGTGACGGTCATCATACATGCATACCTCCATTGGTAAGCTTCAAGGCAGACAGCAGACAGCAGACAGCGGAGAGCACTAGTGACTCACCTTGCCGGCTCCCACTGCTCCAACAGCAATGAGCAGTTCTCCCTGAAGGCAGAAACAATAACAACAGTTACACGGTACATCACTGTCATTACAAAATCGTTGCTCACATAACTGAAGTTGTACTAAACCTAAACATTGCTTAGAAGACAACTCATTGTGAATATACAAACACTATCTCAATGATGACAGCATAGCAAACCAACAATAACACATACTTCAAGCAGTTTCAAATGCTCATGGTCCAAGTGATAGCTTACTTTGCATATATGGAAGTTGAGATTCAGTAGAGAGAACGGTCCATTTTCACTTTCCAATGATTCCTCGCCCTGACGTCGCAGACAATGGAACAGAAGCAGAAAAAGCAGAGTCCACAGACTTGCGACGTCACGTTCACCGAAGGTAGGTAGATTACGGCTGTTGTGTGCATGGCTGTAGGCAAAACCCATTCCTGGAGATAACCGATGTTCATTCGGTCAGCTAAAGTGGCCCGTTTCATTGGGGTTATGAAAAGCTTTATTGCATTCCAATGCTCATTGCCTGCTCTTTCTGCCAGGATGAGACAAAGGTGCTGTTGCCAAGAAAGATGGTGCCACTATCAATATACAACAAAAACATGACCTTGTTGAACTACGGTCAACGTTGTCTTTCTCATGGATCAAATTCAGACTTCAAACTTCTGGATACACTATCCAGTAACCACAGAGACAAAATAGTGACGAAGACACAGTAGAAATGCTTCAGAATTGCGTAAACCCAAGGGACCTTATAATATAAAAGAGAAAAGGACCAAGGAACTACAAGTTACGCATTAATGTCCACTAACACCACCATTACTAAACAATCAGCTCATGCGATAACTTTGCACGACACTGACCGACGGCACTAACGTTCTACAACTAACTGCCTCATATAACTTAGAACTTTCCAAGTTAGAAGGCTGTTGGAGTGCGTATCAAAGACGTGCTAGAGATGATAGCCAGTTAGTTGTAGATTGTCAGTACCTTCGTTCAATGTCGTGCAAATTATCGCATGAGCTGAGTGTTAAGTAACTGGTGGTGTTAGTGGACATTATAGTGTAACTTGTAGTTCCTTGGTCCTTTTCTTTTCTATAAATTTATCGTTGACTCTCCATCCGAGACATTGTACTCTATTGCTGAGGTCAAAGCGTTCCGAAAAGAATATGCAGAATGCTGCAGAGAATACTTTACAGAGAAAAGTAGGCTGCATCCGATGTGCTGTGTACTGTGTGCTGTAGTTCCACCATATCAGCACAGCAGTTATTGGCATTCTGCTATGCATCTCCTCCTTCCACTGGATCATGATCAGTAGTGTGCTAGCCACATTTGAAATTGTTGTAGTAATTGATTGTTCAGCCCCCCCCCCACCCATCCTACACCCCCACTTAACTCAATAAGGGTGATGGCAGTATCAGTCAACCTTGTACAACTAGCCATGACGCACATGCAACACAACAGGCAGGCAAGCGACGGAAAAGTGTATGCTTCTCGTTGGCTGAATATTCGAAATAAACGAGATTCATTGTTCTTTCGAATGACGAACATCTGCGATGCATGTTTTTTGGTCTTGTAATATGGCTGTCCGCAGCCACCCTGCACTAGTTACGGCTGACGTGAGGTGTGAGAAAGAATGGCATGCTGGAATTGAGGGTCAATGCACCATGTTCTCACCTCTTCCCAGGATGACGTCAAGTTCACCACATTCACAAGCGGCTGCTGATCCTCTGCCAGTTGAGAGTGGGGTACTGAAACCTTGTCAGCATGCATGCCAGTCTTCAGCTCCATTCCCGTGCAGCCATTGCCGGATACTACCGGCGGGTTAGGGTTGGTGCCACTCACGGGACTGCCGTGTCTCCTCACTTTCTTAGATTCAGCCAGTAAAAGAAAATCCTGCAGGAAATGGGGCATATCAGGGAGGTATGAGTGAATGTCAGCAGCAGTCGCAGCATTACTGCTGCTGATGATAGTGGTGGTGGCATAGGTAGCCATACTGCCTGCGTTCATATGGCAGTGTAACTTTCAGAAACCTTTTTAAAATGGTTGTAAGATCCATCTCCCACCATCACCATCCGATTTCGCCGGGCACCTAGTCTATGGCTGACAGCATGCGCCATGCGGCATGCACGAACTCATGCAACAGCCTGCCATGCAAGATATCACCAACCGGATCCACTAGGTACCAGGTACAAACTAATGACTCAGTGCATGGTGGGAAAGGGATTCGCAAGATGCGACAGAACTGTCTGTAGCTACCAGATATACAGTGTGATGTTCAGCGTGTATTGGCAGACATTTTACAGGCTCCCCCCCCCCCTCCCCCAAATCTTGATCATTGTCTCATTCATAACAATGTTGAACTTGTCGATGAGTTCCCCCACTGCTTAGACATTAGCTACAGCACATTCAGAGCATCAGCCAATGCACACACAGCCAATGCACACACAGGCAATGCACACACAGGCAATGCACACACAGGCAATGTACACACAGGCAATGCACACACAGGCAATGCACACACAGGCAATGCACACACAGGCAATGCACACACAGGCAATGCACACACAGGCAATGCACACACAGGCAATGCACACACAGGCAATGCACACACAGGCAATGTACACACAGGCAATGCACACACAGGCAATGTACACACAGGCAATGTACACACAGGCAATGCACACACAGGCAATGCACACACAGGCAATGCACACACAAGCAAACACACACTTCATGCAGTACCTGTATTCTATAGATGGCAACAAGGCCCTCGGACAAAGTTGTGAAGGCTCGCACTTGCAGATAGAGCACCTCATTCCTGAAGACCTGCATTGTCGCCAGAGTTACGAAAGCCGTGCGTGGCGTAAGGGTATTCCCCAGATAGACGTACGTTGTGAACATGAGATATAGGATGAGATGCAAGCCGACTTCACCGATAGCGCTATTGAATCCCCAGAGGTATTGACGCTTGCGTACCACTGCAAGCTCCTCACTGCAAAGAAACAAAGGACATCAAACACAAGTGTTCAAACCCTAAAGTAGTGCTATAACTAAGAGACACATTATTGTGAAGTCCAAACCTATACACCCAGTCGGTGCTGTGCTAACCTGAATGTCACTATCTGAAACTGTGTCAGCTGAAAAAGACCAAAACTGAGCAGGAATGGTGTTTATGCATGCAGTGACATTCCCCTAATACCCTAGCACCGGTCAAGCTTAGCCCGCAGTGCTGTGATCAGAGGAACACCGGAAAGGGAGGATAATGCCGGCTGACCACATGAGACTGGTCATGACACGCTCCACTGTCCTGCAATACTAGTTTGCATGTTCAGAAGCCGCTGTCCGGCTTCATTACTAGTACAGGCTCCAAAGCTGCCCGCGGTCAGCTGCGGGTCCTTTGGGGGGGGGGGGTCCTGTGTGTGTGTGTGGGGGGGGGGGGCTAGGAGGGGAAGAGGTGTGAGACAGGGGCACAAGGCAACATAAGAACAAACAAACAAAGCAAGGCACTTACTCTCGGACACGGGTGATGACAGCACCGAAAGGCATTTCCCACACGTACATCTTGATCAGCTGCACTCCCGTCAGGATCTCGTTCATGAAACGGATACGCTTGTCTGTCAGTACTGCCATCTGATCCCTAGATACCATGATCAACAACAGTCGAAGGTTTACAGACAAGTATGTGAACAAAGAAATATCATAATAGCTGAAATTGCCGACATTGTATGATAAGAGAGTCAGCATTCTTTTATAGCTGCTCAAATGTATGTGGGTACTCAGGAATGCAAACTACATAGGACTCCATTATCCTTTCTACTTCGAATGAAATTAAAGATACCGTGTCGTTGTGTGCATGAGCATTGCGTACCGGTATTTGGATGTGAACTTTGCCGAAATGGCCTGGAACACAAGATTGACACAGACGAGGGCAAAGCCTGCGAAACAGGCCACTCCAAGCTGATACCACACCAACACAATGGTAACGATGAAGGCAACGATTCCCCACCATGCTGAGCTCAACCATCCACAGAGCTGAAAGCACAAAACACAACAGCACACGCCTATCAAAAAAGGCACATCAATAAGCCCATTGCGCAATGACGTAATTTGTACCGCAAACACCCCACACAGCCACCTGGGCATGGTCGTCTGGGGTGTTGAACACTGAACAGTGCATCCCTGATCCCAGTGTACTCACATGCATTACTCATGCAACCCATATTTGGCAATGTGCAGTAAGCTTAGAGTAATGCATGGCAACTAAATCATCCAGTGCCTCCAAGTGGTGTGTATGTATGCAGCGGACATGGTATTCTGTTCTCCGAGTGGTTATGCTAACTAGCAAAGTAATACAGGGTAACCGATAGCTCATTACCTCATCCAGCCGCTGTACATCTGTTGAGACTAAGTTCACGATATGACCGGTTGTCAGTTTCAGCAGGGATGAGCTGTGTAGTTGTAGCACCTAGGCACGCGCACACAAGCACGCATGAACACACACACACACACATGTGCACACATACACACACACACACACACACACGCCCACACACACACACACACGCACACACACACACACACACACACACACACACACACACACACACGCAATGGAAACGAGTAAAGAATGATGGTCTGTAGAAGCATAGCAGTTGATACTTGCCTGAAATGCAAAGGTGATGAGAGTCTGCCCAGGATCTATGTAGACATGAGCAGTGCGACTAAGGGTGACGGAGCTACTTAGCATGTGTGTCCCGTTCGCTAATCACCGAAGCTGCAGCTACGGAGTTGTCATGTCAAGTACTGCTACAAGTAGTATCATATTTCAAACATTGACGGCTCTCCATTGAAGGTGTTGGGAGTGGTGGAGTTCAACCTGTTGCATTTACATTCGTTAGTTAGGCAGTGAAGCTTCCTCGGACCATCACCAAACTGCTGGACCTAATTGTAGTGGAAGCTGACATCGTCATAGAAGTGACTCGGTTCCATTTCCTCCTTGGCTGGAGTACGCATGAAGTATAGTCAGGGAGAATTGGTCAGTGTGACATTTGCCCAGCAGGAGGATGTGTGCCTAGCTACGACTACTGCATATCAGCACCCCCTCTCGCTATGTGAAGGGCAGCCGATCCGAGACTGGAGACGTGGAACTGGTTTCGCATGGCGGCACTGCTCGTTGGTGTGCAAAAGGTCCCTGGTTCGAGTCCTGGTGGTGACAGTCAATTTTTTCTTCAGACTTTTCCCGTTTGCATCTTTCCCTCAAAGCAATGAACAATTTTAGTGCTAGATGATGATAATTATGAACAAAACTTACAGACCAGTACTATACATGGGCCTCACCTACACTGGATAGTACTATACATGGGCCTCACCTTCACTGGATAGTACTATACATGGGCCTCACCTTCTTGTGAACAAGTGAGGTCAGTGAAACACGTAGGTGCATACCCACTTCCCGCTGTGCAACAAAGTAGAGTGTGTGATACGTCAGGGCGCGAACTATCCCAAGAAGGACGAAACCAAGCGTGTACAGGTAGGCGTCTGCGCGGTCCACATTGCCCGTGAAGTAGTCGATGACCTTTCCCAAGAAGAATGGCTGCAGAAACCCCATGGTAATCTGTTTGACATCAAACACACAGAGCAAGGACACCTCGCTTAGAGGCTTACACCAACACATATTACTGATGATGCTTGTGTGCAGTATGAAGGCATTGTGAAGAGCCTGCCGTTCATAATGCCGAGTATCCTATCCCTTCAGGTTGCCTATTGCGAGCTCCGGTGTGGGAAGCAAACACTATCCAGTATTGCAATAAGTCAATACAACCGAGGAGGCGAAAGCTAGAAAGGCAGCTCCTATAGCCTCATTGTCAACTCCAGACCAAAGGACGTGTGGCCTTTGCTCTGACTGGTCACTCACTCCTCGAGCAGCCAACACAGTAACGGAAACAGCTAGTGACAGTCTCGAGTGCTTTGGGCATTCAAGATTAGCTAACACCGAACAAAACAGAGAGAGAGAGAGAGAGAAATAAAGAGAGAGAGAGGGAGGACCTAGTTCAATACTGCAATGCAAGCACAGCATTACAGCGCCATTCCAATACCACCGCTTACACTGAATCCGTGCACAACTGCAGCTATGGGCAAGTACTCCCTCACGACCAGCGATACGCAGGCATACAGCAGACTGGGCTTTGATTTGGACAGCTGCCGTGTCCATTCCCTGCACTCAGCAAACACATGCCACACAGCACGGTAATAACGTTACACCATGCTACTGCACACAGTCAGTGGTCTGAGCACACAGCAGCCCGAATAGACACACAGACACAGACACACACACACACACACACACACACACACACACACACACACACACACACACACACATACACAGACACACATACACACACACACACACACACACACATACACACACACACACCTCAGACCTCAGACCTGCCCATCGCGGAAGCGATGATAGCGAACAGCTATGTTAGACATAGTTAGCATCCCCCCACCTCACAACAGAGCAACCGAGTTTTGCATTAAGCTGGGAGTGCCGATTCGAGCAACTGGTATGATGGAGCCGCTAGATGGCTCGCAGCTGAGCCAGCAAATGACTCCGCTTGGAGCAGGCGAATGACTCCGCATGGAGCCGGCGAATGACTCCGCATGGAGCCGGCGAATGACTCCGCATGGAGCCGCCAAATGACTCCGCATGGACCCGGCGAATGACTCCGCATGGAGCCGCCAATGACTCCGCATAGAGCCGCCAATGACTCCGCATGGAGCCGCCAATGACTCAGCATGGAGCTGCCAATGACTCCGCATGGAGCCGCCAATGCCTCCGCATGGAGCCGCCAATGACTCTGAGTAGAGCCGCTAAATGCTAAATATATAGAGATGCATAACCAGTTGAGAGCATAATTATATTCTCGGTGACTATACAGATACCGTCATGTGTGCGCCAGAAACATTAGTTGAGCTAGTGGGTGGGAGGGTGGGAAGGAAATTGTTTGGGAACACATGTTCCGCAAGTTGCACGCTCAAAAGTCCACTTGAAACAGCAATGACATGCAAGAGACAATGTACAGGATTTTGAAGGGCGCGTGCCCACGTGACTCGCGCATGCGTGCAGGTTGGGCCAGCTCGCTGGGCTGGCTGCTAACTTGCGTTAGCATGCTAACGCTCATTAACTTGTGCTGGGATTACACCATTCAACAGCTTGCAGGGCTGATGAATTGACCGCCACCAATTTTAGCCTGGTATCCACCACATAGCTGATTGAAGTGGCTTTTTCTGGCCAGTGAATCCCTATTTTCATTTTTTTCATTTTTTCCATTTTTTTAATTCTTTTTTTACACACACACACACACACACACAGCGGAAGAGCGATGGGGTTTGTAAAGGAGAAGACAGTGTTTCCCTCCACCTCCTTACTGTATGTGACCTTGAAGCGGCAACGTGGCTTTCCAGATAACAAAGAGAACGGAAGAAACCAGTAAGTATATTATTTTAAATACACGTACGTCTCCAGCCTGCTACAAAGAACACTAGCGGCATCCTGTTTTCCGACTGGTAGCAGGTTGTCCTGTTCGAGGGTTTGTTTTGCACCCAGGTTAATCAGCGGACCAATCCACCTTGAGAAAAATAACAAGACACACACACACACACACACCTTTTGACGTTTGACGTTTTGACACCCATCGCCAGAGGCGATGATAGCAATGCTACAGCAGAAGCCCTAGCAACTTGTGCTGGGATTGCACCACATACACATACACAGAGGGTGTAATGGAGTGATAGTGCGAGGGTGAAATGACCTGGAGAACAATACCATACGAATGTACATTAGAAAGCATTGCCATGACGATAACCTGCGTTAAAGCACTCGCAACGCAGTCCGGGGGAGGGGGGGGGAGGAGGGGGTAATTTTTCATCTGACAATTGCAGTGACAGCTCATAAATTCTATTCATAATTCACTCCATGATCATTTTCCTCATCCTCGTTGTCTCGGCCTCTCCCTGCACAAGCCGAAAAGCAACAGATACCCTAATCACGTCCATCATCCCACTCGTTTCCTTAAGGCGTTCACATTGGCAACATGTTGCAGCATCACACTGGAGCAATTCCACTTACAGAAATAGAAGCCAGGAGAAGAAGCTGGCTCTCTCCACTGGCGAATCCAGCAGTTGTTCACTGGACGACTCTCCAGCACCCTCATCTACACACAGCCAACAGAATACACATTCCGTATACATCCCCGTTCGTTAGTTGCACTCCCTTTATGATGTCTTCGTCACATGGTTTCAGTATGCTCACTTCGGTAATAATTAGTAATTACTGATAAATCACAATTGATTGTAAGTCACACTCCCCCATTTGACATTGGGACTTTTTTGCAAAAGGTGCGAAGTGCAGGGAGAGTACTATGGCTAGTATTGGCTACAATACTATTTCCGGGAAAACACTGCTGCTTGTAAAGCCAGCTTAGCCGCTTAGGAGCTGCATCTGCGCCTTAATCCTAGAGGGTGGTGGTGTGGAGTTTTTGCGGATGCGGAAAACTCGACCTCCAGTCGAGTCTCACGCGAAACGGAATTCTTTTTTAGTTGTTGTTGTAAAATCAGAAAAAAAGAGGAAGCAATTGCTCATATTTTCGCCGGCACTGGAGTACGCATTGTAACTGGTACTCTAAAGTACCGTGGTGCCTTCATCGGAGAGCCTGATGGGGCTGCTGATATGGTGCGGCAGAGAGGGAGTTAATGGATAACTGAATTGAAGAGGCTCTCAGTTGTGGCACAGACCAAGCAGCATGCGGCTTATGCCGCACTCACACACACACACACACACACACACACACACACACACACACACACACTCACACACACACGCACACACACACACACACACACACACACACACACACACACAAACACACACACATGGTATGCGTGTGAGGTGGATGTTTCTCCTTTGTACTGTGCCAATCCCCGTCGCCTGTCTAAATGACCTGGACAACACCATCCTGAGCTTGAAGTATGTTCTTCCCCTAGGTATTATAGTTAGGAATACCGTACTGTAAGAAAGGGTTTGCTCCCCACACCGGAGCTCGCGCTATTCCGCCGACTATACTTGACACTTGACTGACTCACGACTGCCATCCAGAGCACACGAGAAACAAACCCTTTCTTACAAATCATCGCCGAAGTCGCAACCACTACTTAATACCATACTGGTTCTTTTAAACCAAACGTTTGTCTTATCAGTCTTCTTCTTATACGTTGTGGACAATACTAACCTGCGGCCATTGCTCAAGCTCCTTCCTTGTCACAGTCTAGAACAGTGAGAAACTGATGCGGCCCAGCAGGGTACGTGAGAAGGCGCTATCTCTACATGCAGGCAATACAAAAACAATGTGCAGTCATCGACCACTAGCAAGTTCCATCTACTAGCGTGGACAGGCACTCCTGCCGGCGGTCTACCGTAGCATGCACGTAATAGATGGAAACAACTTGTGGGGGTTTGAGGATAAATGCAGCTTGTTCATCTGGACTATCATAAATCTTTCTATATCCTGAAGCATATTGTGTTGGTGCCAGGTTGCAGTCTCAATGCTCCTCCGGCTTTGGCTTTCTCGTGCAGGAAACTTAATCAATTTGCGTGTTCAAATATTCGCGAAATCTGTGAATATAACATACTCAATCTGCGAACCAGGCCCGAACATACCTTGCCAGAGTGCTCAGACTGACAAGCTCTGCATAATGCAAACAGCAAAGGCACTACCCCACATGAGAGTGCTCAACTGCTACAAGTCTAATAAACATCATATTATGGTTTGCATTGTAAAATGGAAAGAGATACAAGGATACGAGCAAAGATTATCTACCGGTATGTGTCCCTTTCATTTCTTATTATATTATTGGCTCTACATCCGAGTTGTCATGGTGATTATATTTAACGGTTAGCGCACATACTGCGTGTAATGTTTACAAAATTCTGAAAACAATAATCAAATGTGCCTTTCGTCTTCCAATGGGGCCGGGGCTGCAGCCTACGGCTATGAATTCCACCATTTGTTTCCAAGATATTTCCCAGCTACAACTATATCGCCCATTACTATTTTCTCACCCAAGAATGTTTTTACTGGGAATGTGATAAGCCAAATTCCACAATGATCTCAATTCACCGGTTCAATCATTTTTAAATTTTTAATGAGATTAGTCATGCTGATGGACACTTCTTTTCGGTACTCGACACGCTAATATTCAAAATGAATAACTCAATTAGAAATGAATAGTTGCCAGCAACACGCTAGTACCCATAGCACGATACGAAAATGAGATTTTAGCTTACCACTTGCTAACGCACTGCGTTGATGTGAGCAGACTCCCGTGTGTACGGACGGGTACATCCTTCAGCATCTTACGGTCAACGAAAAATTATCGTGTCGCTGTAGTGTAGGACCTGTGGACCGTGTGGTACAAGATGATGATTTTTGACTGGGTGATCATTGTGAAAAGCAGGAACAGTATCCATTGGCATTGAATTCAACGCGTCGCATCTTACTCATTCAGCCATGTCCAGCTGCCAGTCAAAGTCACCTAGTACCTATCCTGGTATCCAACTCACTGTGCCAGGCTCTGGCTAGCCCGGGCCAGGGCGGAAAGCCACTGGCACTGAAGCCAAGGCAGTGAAGCGTTCCCTTTGCCCTTTGCACGGACTGCATGACCATGATGACAGCTAGTACAGGCTCGGAGGGACAAAACTCGACAGTCTTCGGACTAACACTCCCTGTCATCATTCTGCTCGGATTCTGCAGCCAAAACCGTGGCAGACGAACATGAACATAATAATTATTTTGGAGAAACTATTAGTAGAAAGTGTGAGTGCTAAGATCATGTTCACGCTCACACACTCCGCTACACTACAGTCGGTAGATGTGCAAGAAACAAGAAAGAGAAAAAGGGGAGATGAAGCCAAGGGGTAAACATGGTAAAACGTGTCGTTACCAGGTTTATACGTCATTAGTTCCACTCGAGCGACGATCGTCTTTGAACTAATAATTGTTACTTGAAGTAATACTAATAGTTTGAGTCGAGCGCGAGTTGGAGTAGATCTACTCGATCGGCGGCCTGAGTGAGTCTACTCCGTACTCGTTGTAGAAGTCGATTTCGGCACGTGATACTTACTTTTGCACGTGCCGGAATTTTTTTGACTTTTTGTAGGCTGTGTGCATGGTGTGTGGGGCTAGCTAGTAGTAGTAGTAGTACGCTAAGTGCAGTGTACTGACTCTGTAGATGTGGTAGCTTGAGCGAGTGTAGATCTACAGGAAATGTTTTGCATTCGAACAGGTCCGTCACGTCGGCCATGTGCTGATGATGTTTTATTTATTGTTGTCTTGGCTTCAATGCACTGGAAGGCGGTTACAGCAATGTAGTTCAGCGCTAAAGTGTGGGCTACAACGTCGCAGCTAGCGGGTGAGCATCGAGAATCTAATGAAGTATCTAATGAAGAAGAATTTATTATTTTGTTCCTGTAGTATAGTCAACGCATCTTCCTATAATTGCCCATTCACTTTTAATAGTTATAATTGAATTGGTCCATTTTTGAAAGTATCATACTATGCACCATGTAGTGTGCGCGCGTGTGTGTGTGTCTGAGGTCTGAGGTGTGTGTTGGGGGGGGGTCATCAATGAACTGGAATAGATACTATTATGCTGTCTCTCATCGTTGATAAAATGCAGGTGCTCCACTGGAATGTTGTGCCAAACCTTCTCCACCGCATTTGTTACATGAACACATTGGTGCCAGTCCCTACTTGAAGAAGTAAATAACTCGGAGGAAATGTAGTGTACAAGTCTCGCGGCAACCAACCTGCATATCCAAAGTTTCCGATACTACTTTACCACCATTATCCTCCACAGTGGAACCTTGGTACGTATGCAGATGCATGGTTCAGCAAAGTATTGCTAGCAGCATTGCACATGCAATTGGGAAACATGTGAACGGCACGGGGCTACAGTGATGTAGTCTGCTTATTTCAATGTTGTCCCAAACCTTCTGAACCTTCTGAATAACTAAACAGCCCTATTTTCACTTCCTTTACTGTACCTCTTGTGCAGTCTGCTTGTTTCTCACAGCCTTCGCCTTAAACGCCGGCGATTGATGTGCTTGGATAGGTGCAGTTCGGATCGGATGGCTGGCGTTTGACTGACCTAAGAGGTGGAGTGGAGAGGTAGATACCTGCACTTGTCAGTGGACCTGTCTGTGACTTAGATACATCGATGGGCTATAGGGGACAGTCTCGAACACCTTCGACCCTGGCACCAGCACCATGGGGACATTCTCCATTCTTCCTGTAGATTTTTCTGTGATGCTGTGTGCAGGGTGATTCTCCGATGACAGCGAGTTTGACATCAATCTGACAGCAGTACTTCAGCACATATAAACAGGGTCAGATGCCCCATCACCTGCTGTGGTGCTTGGCCTGGCGGGACCCTTTTCTTCATTCAAATGAAAAATTTCACATTGCATTTCTCAAGTTCCCACTGGCAGCCGATGATAATATTATTGGCTTTGTGTGTGAATGTGTGAGTGCCGCTGTGTGTTTGTGTGTTGCTGCCACCTTGGTCTGCATGCAGGCTGAACTGTGAGCAAGTGTGAGCCATGGTGTAGAATGCCTTACTGAGACTTGATTGAAGCACAATGGACGTCAGCGTTGACTGTGGCATCGCTGATGGCGGTCCCACCAGCGACGGGCCTGAGTCGGCATCGGAGCAGACAAGTGCAGCAGTAACAACGCTTGCAGGTGATGGGTCCAGAAGCAGAAAGCATCGAACAACCACCACCACTGACACAGGTGAGCACAAGTCTGGCCATTCACACTAAGTAAATGCATTCAGCACAATATGGTAGTCCTTGCTTGCCAGGGCACTGGAATGAGTACATGATGGGGTGACATAGTCCAATTTGTTGGTTCATTGATTCTGTGTGAGAGCTATCTTGGAAATGTTATTTATTCTTCTTTTGCTAGGAAAATCCCAACAGTTGCTGCTGCAGAATTATGCCCCCCCCCCCCCTCCCCCGGCCCTTGCTCACTATTGTGTTTACCCCAATCACAATGATATGGTAGACACACGACTCAATGCAACTGGTTCTTAGCAAAGGTCAATACGTTACTGAGGTTCGTGATCATACCAAGAGTACATAACCCCCAAGAGTGTGCAACTCCAGGTATGGGGTCTGCGACGGCAGAACTTCACATCACGCGATGAACCCGTACACGTTATTTGCACTCTGTGCATGATAGATACAGGGTTGTACGCAACCCAGCTTTGGGTACAACTCTCTTGTGGTCACTTTGCACTGTTTGCCAGCATAACCTTTTGAACCATGTCACGTGATGTGAACTTCTGCCGTCGCAGCACAGCATAGAGGTTGTGCAGGCAGTTGCAAACTCTTGGGGGTTAGGTACTCTTGATTGTGCTTATAGGTAAGCTGTAGAATTAGTCAGCTATGTGATAGGAAGTACACACGGTCAGGTATGTCTGAGTTGCATGGCTAGCGACGTAGGTAGCGTCTACTCAAATAACATCACATTGTGATAGACGAAAGTGTGATCTATTGACACCTTCAACTGTACTAGAGTCCAGAAGTATTCATGCAAGATTGTGTCTGTGATTCACATACATCACAGTCCTCCCTTCTAAACGTGACATCATTGCAACAGAATCTAGAAACAGCAACAGCAGAGCTTGGCACTGTGGACAGGT